TTCCATATTTTCCAGATTGCCCACACAACGATAAGCAGGCTAGCCTTTTAATTTATTTAGCATTATTTACCTCGTTGGCCGCGACATTTATAAAATACTATCACCAACGAAGGAGGTTAGTTAATAAGAAAATATAAGCCAATTTCTTACAATCCACATCGACCTGGTATTCTAAACGGCTTGTCGTAAATCTAATTAATTTATGCATAGCAATGACGTCACAAGGCAATTACAACTCTGTTAGCGAAGCCGTCAAAGCATAAGTCACCTAGTTTAGAACGGTAAACATAGTTTCAGATGGACGAGGAAAGAAAAGAAATATAATTTAATCATACTTTCTCATAAAGTACTTTTATATTCACACACGGACACAATAGACACTATCCATTCCATAACAACTCTGTGTGTGTGTGTGTGTGATCTACAAATCGTTGTTTCTGGTTGTTCATCATATTTATTTTTCTTTGTCGTAGTCATAAAGGGTGATCTCACATTAGGACTTTATCCTGTGTCGTGGGATTGATTGCAAAATAATTTGTATGTTTGTAAACACAAGCGCAGGAGAAAATAATTCAATGTCTGTATTTTTTCACAAACATATTTGCGTACTGAATAGTTTTACTAATTATCTGAAATTTAAGTAAGGGAGAGCCATGCTTCATCCCGAATGGGTCGGCTCTACCAGCGTCAAACAACCACAGCATTGTGAGTGAAGTTATTGGAGGCCCAATCCTTCCCCTCTTCCAATCCCTCCCCAGTCCCTAAATCTCCAAATCCCTAATTCCTAAAAGGTCGGCAACGCACTCGTAACTCCTCCGTTGCGGGTGTCCATGGGCGGCGCTGATTGTTTACCATCAGGTAATCCGTCTGTTCGTTTGCCGACATATCAAAAGTCAAAAGTCAAAAATCTTTTATTTCAATTAGACCTTTACGGGCACTTTTGAACGTCAAACAAAATTTTGAAGATATAGTGTCAGTCTGTCGGTCAGTTCTCTTAGTGAAGCTATTACATAAAAAAGACTTTATTAAAAAGAGATTTTGATCCGTAAGTATAACAGACGTTTCTGGCAAGTACTTACAAGTACAAAAATATACCTCGGTCCGATCTCTCTATCACGAGTTTATCACTTCTACTTGCCCTACCTGTGTTGGGAGAAGATGTTTAATAAATTACCCACTTAAAAGTATCCAAAGTTCAAGTTTTATCTAAAGCCGCATAAAAACACTGTTGTAAGCCAAAATAGATAAAGCCAATTGATTTAAAATTCAAGAATTCATTACAATAATGCAATAAAAAATAACTAGTTATTATTTCAAACAAAAGTTTGATGAATAAAATACATTGTACAATCGTTTCTATTTTAATAATAAATAAGGTTTAAATACATTTTCTTCGCATTCTACTTAAAATGTCTTGTTACATTTTGATACTACTACTTTATTGTTTCTTACAAAGTGTTCGCCGGAGGCAAAGGTTTTAAAACATCTTCGAAATTTAAAATTTAAAACTGTTCATCGAGTTTCTTAATTAAGAATGTTTTATGAGAAATTTTGTCCGACTTTGTCACTAGTAGTTGCAAGTAAGCATTATGGAAAACATAAATACAAAATGTTCCGGGTACATTCGTAACAAATCTTTTATATTTCGTAATATGCAGGCATTTGGTCACCGTCACGCCTGGCGGTAAGCGATGATACGACCTACGATGGAGCACGTCTACCCATAAGCAACCTATTCACTCGGGCCTTGACTACACCTAGAATCCATACCCTTTGGGGAACACAAACTCCGCCAAAAAATCCCACTTCTTAGCGGTTCTGATTATAAAACTGGATGTGAACTGTTTTGTGCGTATGGGTGGGATATTCACTATGAAGCGATGCCATTTTGCCCTTAGTAATAAATAATTTATAAAATTTATGTAAACTATTATAAACTCTTTTGGAAAATTCTAAAACTTTACGATATTTTATGTAATAACCAAAACAGCCTTTGCAAAAGAAATAACAATTAACAGAATGAATTAATTTACGCTGAATGTATTTACTGGGCTTTTGATAAAGTAGAATCAAACTTGAAACATTTCAGATATCTTTAAATTTAATTGCAATTATTTTAAACATTTCAATCAATCAAGATAGATGATTGGAAATATCGTTTTTGAATTAGGAATGTGAACTTGAAGTTTGAACTTTTGAAAATGATACTGGCTGGAAATAATGAAATCTTAACATTACTTAAAATGAATTGGGGCCTCTTTGCTACGAACTTTATGGCTATTATACTAACGATAAGGATTTAGTATGTAGATTCTCGTAATTTTTTCAAAGTTAAAATGTATTTGTTACGTATAAATGTATAGTTATTTGTTACGCAGTTACACCTACTCCTGGTGTTGCGAGTGCAAGCTTATTAATGTACCGACGTCCCAGTCTGTAGCAGAAGAAGGAACGTTGTGGGTTTTAGTCAGTAATAGTATAGAAAAAGGTATCGGAAACGGTTATGTAAAAACACGTGATCAGCTACGTGTACGCTATGACATAATAATAGAGACCTACCTACCTAACCTATGCTTTAAAAAAACATGATAAGGTAAATTTACAGTTTCAAATTGACAATCCATTTTAAATAAGTACAATATGCTCAATAATTTTAAGTATGAGAAAAAGCATTTGCGTGGCTATAAGTCAGTTGCAGACTGTAAAGACGATAAAAACCCAAAGAACGAAAACATCGAAACATTGAAACGCTATGTGCTGTTATAAGGAACTTTACATTCTGGAAAGAGGTCTTACTAGTCTATGCAGGCGTTCTACAGTTATCTTTTACACACCTTTAATCAACCCTTACATACATATGAATGTATCTAACAAGGTTATCTCAAGACACATTAGATAAACCAAAATGTCGACATGTCACACCTCTTTTACATAGATAAACTAACCTTTGAACGTTAATTATAGCTTGGCATCACCACTGCTCAAAGACGACCCCTCAGAAGTCTCTATGTCAAACGCGATAGGGGTTATTTTTGCGTCACACGTAACTAGCCTAAATGGCACTCCTAATGATATACGAAATCACCGACCTTGCCCAAGATTAATTGGCAGAATGTAAGGTCTTTAATGGCCTGTCTTATTATGAAAATAAGACTTCTTTTTCTTTTTGTTCATTATGTGGCCAGTGTGAATTGTTGACGGCTGCCATTTGAGACGATATACAACCTTTTTTGCAGACCACTGAGGATGCTTTATTAAAGTCTTCTTTTGTTTTTGTAAGTAGTTTGTGAGTTTGTTTGTTTTGTTCTTATTTGAGTAATGTTTTTTGTTAACAGAGTTATGAGCAGTTTATATTTATTGGCAAGTTTAATTAAATATACCACGAAATTGGTTTTGCTTAAATTATGACCCATTTAATTATTACTCTATTAAAATAAGAATTGTTGCATTTTTAACTAGCATAGAATGATATATTTGAGTTAAAATAATAGTATGATATAACGTGTGTAGACTATTTCAAAGAGAAATACGAGATTGTGGAATATATACATTTACACGTACGAAATTCAACACAAGATCGTAGTCCAACAAAGACAGATGCAACGAAAATAGGTTTCGTTAAAGGAAAACTTTAATTAAATTGTTGTGGTCAGTGCATGCAGAGTCGGGAACGTAGCCCTCTCATGTGGAAACTAAACGGTGAACGAAATACTACTCGAAATCGTATACAGAAGGAAGAGGGCATTAGAAAAGTAATGTGATTTCTCAAAGAACATAATTTCGTACTAAATTTTATTCTATTTAACGACTTATTCACTTGAACGTTGCATGCACGACGACACCACGACGCGTACGCTGCTCGTGAATAAGAGTCCCGTTGTGACTTGAAACTAGTCGAGCTTTTTTCAGTTCATGCAAGCAAGTATGTCGAATATTTTTTCATTAAATAAAAAACACAGATTTCTTAATTGGGATACACTTTATACATACCTAGGCTGGAGTAGAAGAGGACATTGAGAATAAAAATTGAAGTTAGTTAAAAGGTATCAAATATTGTTTGGTAAAAATAGCATTTTTAATTTTATTGTGATATCTCGTAGGTTCAGTTTCCTAGTCGGAAAAACAATTTTAAAGGGCAAACATGAAAGATGAAAAGAATAAACTATTTTATAATGGTGAGCTTCAACTACCTATAGTGAGTGTTTACTTCTAATTGTTAATAATTCTATGTAGCTATATATCACTGAATCTTATAAATACAAACAATCATAAATCACTGCTTAGAATGAGCAGTAAAATGGAGATTGAACAATTCAAATTTTAAAAAGTCGACACAGTTTTTAAACTAAGGTCGTTAGTAATCAAATCTGACGTCTATATGCAGTTCAAGTTATAAGAGCAACACAGGCCTTTGTACGTACTAAACAAGGCATCACTACACCGACACATGTTTGCCGGCAATGTCACCCTTCGCCGACACAAAGTCCTAACAAAAAAACAAAACTTCAATATACTAGGCAGGGAAAAATCTGCGCTGTTACATGGTGTGTCGGCGTTCGTTTCGGCGTAAATTCGCCGACAAATGACGGGCTTTATACGAAAGTTGTCCGGTAATTATGATGTAATGGTATAGTTTGATGTGATGCTAATTATTGCAATTCGAATTTTAAATATTTTTAAATAGTTAATATTTTATTCATTTTTTATATTTTTATAATTCATTGTTTTATTTAAATTTCATAAGTAAACAAAACATTGTAGACAAATTTTGAAACTCAAATTTTATGCCTATACCACTCTGAAACATTTAAGTACATTAATACTTAATAAATAAAAAATATTGATGTTTTTACTTTTAATTTTAATATCACTGTATCAGTATTTATGAATTATTGTAAAGACTACATAATTTTAAATATCTGATACTTTGCATTTAATGTTAGAATAAGAATCTTGCTTTTAAAATTCATTTACTAATTACATATTTCTCATTGTTCCAGTATTATGGCATTAGACATCATGATCGAAGAACTAGAGCAGCAGACGACGGCGCGGCCGGCGTTTCTCACGACTGTGTTCACTCCTGATGATGACCACGGTCCAATCAAGAACGCTACAAACGCCACTAGTGACATCAACTACTATTACTTTTATGACGTAAGTTATTTTACACTGAATAGTCACTTTCGTGAGACGTACTATTGTCAAAATAATTCCAAGATTAAGATATTATAAAAACGCCACTGAAATTACACCTGATACTTAAAACCTACCTTTCACAAAATATTATTTAATACTACATTATCATAATTATGAATCATATGCTTTTTCTTCCTTTTGGCTCGTTGCCTGAATATTATGAAAATATTACTAGCTTGTTATCAAATATTGTTATTTGTAGTTTGGATGGATTAATTGACATTTATATTTGAATCTGGTTCATTCACTTCTGTACAGTGTTACCTTTCATAGAAGTTTGTAAGTAAACAGAAATTCAACAAATAGGTTAGTTATTGTACATACTTACTAAATACTTATCTTATTCATTATAGGTTCGGTAGCATAACCACTTACTGTGTAACTTAACTGTGTAAAATAACAAAAACACATCCATACATTCTAAAAAACTGCCTATTAGTAGGATATATCTACCTGATTTGAGAAAACATTGAAATTGGTTTATGTACAAACCGTATGTATAAAGGCAATGTAAGTAGCTATTTATTGCAAATACACTTCTATAAAATATCAAGTATGATGTAGGTTTTGTAGGTAGGGTTCAAAATTTAATGATATGCATATTTTCCTGTGCCACATAATTTATGCTTGACGATGCTATTAATGATATGAAAACAAAGTATAACTAGAATATGTTGTAATGTTAGGCATAGTTAATGCTAACACAGCAAACTTCGAAAACATAATACTAAGAATATTTAGATTAACTAAAAATCGCGGGTTACTCACGTGTAAATATGAGCAGCGTGCGCGACGTCGCCGCGTCCGCGCACGCTGCTCATGAGTAATAACCCCTCTGTGGTTCGAAACTAGTAGAGCTTTTCTCAACATTTACACGTGAGTAACCCGCGAATTTTAGTTAATTTAGTATGTCTCACGATAGTTATTATAAAAAGAATGTTTGGGTTGAAAAGTTTATTATTTTATGTAGTAACTTTTATAACTTTGACTTAGTTCATATTTACAGAAGATGTGTTCAAGTTTGAGACGTATTATGGTATGGTTTTTTGTCATGGGAGAATCATCAACGACTTCTCCCGCCCAGGGTAAGGAGAGTGTCAGACTCTTACTGACTTAAAACTCCCTTGGTTGCTTCTCCTGTTTTAGGCCGAGGCCGCGGTGCCATTGTGGTAGGGTCCTGTTATAATAACATTCCTTTTGTTAATTAATATAAATTAATATAGTGTAAATATATATATATAGGACATATTACATAACAAGAACTTTACTAAGACAACACACACAGAAACATATTATCATATTCATATTCACGTATTCTGGCTGAAATAGCACTGCGGCTAAGAGTGCTTCGAACTTGAGTTTTATGCAGAATCTGTTAATAAGATAACAGTCCAAAGAAAATCCTCATGGTCATGGTCTAAAAGCTTATGGAATTGAGTGAAACCTCGGCCTCAGAGAAAATCAGCGTGAAAAAACCACAGCGTTGTGTTTCACCGTGTGTGTGAGTGAGGTTACCGGAGGCCCAATCCTTCCCCAATGCCTAAATCTCCAAATCATAAATCCCCAAAAGGTTGGTAACGCACACATAACTCCTCTGTTGTTAAGTGTGTGAGCAGTCGGCGTTGATTGCTTACCATCAGGTAATCCGTCTGATCGTTTGCATTACATAAAAAAATCTCGAATAAACTACAAATGTTGCAAGTAAACCCGTACAATATTGTAGTGAATTGATAAAAATATACTTATAACAAATTTCCACCCACCCACAGCATTTTTGTTGGATTACATTGTGTTATATCGTGAAAGGTTTTAATCACCTAATGGATATTTTGGGGAGAGCGTCATAGAATGTCGAGAGCTCGCGATAGTGTTATCAAGCGGCGATACTTCAGGCTTTTAGCAGTAGCTAGTACTAACATAACTTAATAAATTTTGATATCATGTATAAGTACTATTTTTAGGCAGCCTCTTTATCGTAGTAGTGTAATTGTTTTGCTCGGTTTTGCTATTGATGTTTGAATCTATACTTATGTATATTAAGTAAGATTAAGATTGTACACAGAGTAATAACATTTTTGTGGATGTTTTTTGCGATTCTGTAACACATTGAATCTTATGGTAAAACTACCGCTTGCCTGCCACTCCGTTCACGTGTAAAAGTGACTTCGTGCAGATTTTTGGTGTAAAAACTATCCTATGTCCTTTCTCGAGTTCCAAACTATGTCTGTACCAAATTTCACAGAAATCGTTTCTGTAGTTTAGGCGTGAAGAAAAGACAGACAGAGTAACTTTCGCATTTATAATATTAGTATAGATTATTAGTTCGCGCGCGCGACTCTAAGAGGCAATAGGTCACCACAGACAAGGCTATACAGTTCTAATTTTCAGTTTGGGTTGCAGGGTTAGCGCAATAAGGTACCGGTAAAATAATACTGATTGTGCAAATTAATCTGTAATTTCATGAAAATTTAACGCGACGTGATGTGAAATTAAATCTTATTTCGCTATTGGACACGCCCTTCAAGTACAAACTATTTTAACATTGGGTAGGAAATGTAAATAATTTAACTAAAATATACCATTTTACATATATACAGACAATGTAACCGATAGTCCTTCAGTCAGTTAAAATTAATCTTAGTTTCCAAAAGCGTTCTTGTTCCCAAAAGTCTTTTTCGCCCATCCGGATTAGCAGCTTTCAGTTTGAGCCGGATTTGAGCGAGCTAAAAACTACCCAATATCGTCCTCACTTCACCATGGAAAGCTTTCTTTGTATGCTCCATTCAAAATTGGAGTATAAAGCTGTAAGAGAAAACCTCTCAGGAAAATAATGGATGTTGTTATGTTACGCTTATTTATACTGTAATTTTTGAAAGAGCTGAAGTTAATGCAATACCTAGTAAAACCTTTTCTATTATTTAACTCTTAATACTCTCGCGTGGTTTCAACCGCTGCTTGCTTTCTTTGATAAATATTGGCGTTATGTTTTATAAATTATAGATTTTTTAAATTACCATCAGCTGTTACAAAGATTGTCCCTTAGATAAAAGTCATAAGTCAAAATATTTTTTTCAATGAGCCCTTGACGTTCAAAAGTGCCCGCACTTTTGAACGTCAAACAAAATTATAAAGGTAGAAACTTAGAAATTGAACCTACCTCTTTATAATACACTATATTTGTATAGATTATTATTCGATGATAGTCCACGTCCTTTACAAGATTAAGATTATAAACCCATTGAAATTCACCGATAGTTAGTTTCATACATAAGACATCATAAAATATTATTTTACAAATAAAAACACACACTCACAGACACAAGATTAAAACTTTACCTACGTTAAAGTTATTCAAAACTCACACCTATCGCTTTAACAATAAGAGTCAAAATAACATATATTTTTTTTTATCTTCCAGTCGATCCAGTTCACGGTAATGTGGGTGCTGTTCGTCGCTATAGTGGTACTCAACGCCTCTGTGATCGCCGCCCTACTCTGTACGAATGCAAGGAAAAGTCGAATGAACTTCTTTATCATGCAACTTGCTATCGCCGGTAAGTGTACTTACATCTTCTTTGAAAATTCGTTGGATCATTTTGAGTGGTTCTTCGTAGTACGTCGTAACAGTGTTATGTGTGTACTTCATTATTACTACTACTACTTTTAAACGTGGTTGGGTTATACTTGTATGTCGACCAAATAGAAAGTATTCTGAAAAAATGACAAATTAAAGCACCCTCGATCGACGAATATGCGTGAATACCCGTATATTGATGATTGTAGCAGAAGCAAAAGATTTCAGTTATGGTTACCTAAACCTGTAGTAGACTTACGTAACAAATATATTATGTAATGTAAGTTATTAGTTCTTCTCAAATTAGTATAAAAAACTGTTTAACTATTTAGACGGTTTCAACCTTAAATGTTTTAAAAATTTGGAAGATCTTGGGGCAGGATTTAACATCACCATCAACAGCCTATATGTGCCCATTGCTAAACCTTCTCACACGAAGAAGGTGTGACCAATAATAAACACGCTTGCTCAAGGCGGATTAGCGATTTTAAATGATAATTAGAAATTAGATTTTTTTGGAATGTTTTCCTTAACTTAACCTAACGTATGCATGGCAGTCGTTTTTAAATATTGTTGACTCGAAAAAAATCACGTTGTTTGGTGAAGGTTGCCATCCTTTATTTATTCAACACAGGATCAATTATTTATTAAAGCTTTCTGTTAAAATTTCGTTTACCTCTTTGAGTAAAGATCAGTTAGCTTCACATCACTGGAGTCGAAAAGTTCGTGAACCAAACTTAAAGGTCCGTTGACCTTAAACTCTGTTAACTTTAAACAATTTCCTGGAAGGATTAGTGCAGTTCGTCAAATATTCACAATGCGTTATTAATGAATGTGTTAGAATGATTAGATCAATAGACAATGAATATAATATCACAGACGAAGTTGGACATTTGTTACTCTTTCACGTACAAACGAGTGACTCTTTATTTGGCTCAGAAAATTATCAATTGACCTCTTCGTAGTGACGAGGGAGGGACGTCATTGCGACGCACACGCTGCTCATAAAAAAATAGACCCGTTAAGACTTGAAACTAGTAGATTACTCTTCATTCTTTATATGTTTTAGTAAGCAAAGTAGCTGCAATGATAATTCTCAATGTTCTTTAACCGAAGAAAGACTTTCTCTTGTGTCGTGGGTAACAAACATACAATTTCATGCACACACACTTCTAGACCCGCAACAATAATGTCGACCACACAAAGAGTTTTTCTGTGCGAGAATCGAAACCCGCGACTCGTTGCGCAGCAGCCAGTTGCCCAGGCACCACGGTTGGCAGGGTTCAATTAATTTCGTAATTAAGCTACTTCATAAGACAGACTACTACATAGGTCGAAGCCCTAAATAAATACAATCAAAGCAATAATTACGAATACTCATCTCAACACAAACAATACTTAGGGATTACCAAACTATTTATTTATTCGTCTGCTTATCAAAACGTTTACAAAAGATGTTTCTTAGCCCTCTTGTTTGTGAACCACTCGATTTTAGTTCTAGACTTGCTAATAGTCACAATAGAATTCTTAATTGATACTAGCGATGTTACTATTGTTTTCTGAATGGGAAAATAGAGCTATTTGTTTATTTCTTAAGTAAGTAAGATGATATCTGGTGAGAGAACAAAAGGACTATTTACTGCAGTAAGCCTATGTATGAATTTAAGGTAGGTATGTGTCGCAGTGTAAAAGTAAAGCTGTTATATACCTTGTAGCGTCGTGGCGGCCCGGAGGTTAAGGAGCCCGCTTCTCATGCATGAGGGTGTGGGTCAAAACCTGGCAAGTACCAATGTGTCTTTTTTCGAGTTATATGTACTTTCTATGATTATTTAGACACCACTGACATACGGTAAAGGTAAACATCGTGAGGAAACCTGGACTTATTACTTACTTATTAATTTCTAATTATAAGTTTGAAATCGCCATCCCGTATTGAGCAAGCGTGGTGATTAATGCTCTAACCTTCTCCGTATGGGAAGAGGCCTTTGCTCTGCAGTGGGCACTTATAGGCTGCTGATGATGATGATGACCTTGTAGCTTTTGTTATTCCTAAGGATAACAATTTATGCCGTTTCCAATAAATCAATGGATTTATTGAAAATTGGTCGGCCTATACCGAGTACGGGTGTCGGTGTTAGTAATTTGTTTTATTATTAGTACTAGCTTTTGCCCGCGACTTTGTTCGCGTAAAATAGTGACTTCCAGCAGATTTTTGGTTCAAAAACTATCCTTTGTCATTTCTCGAGTTCCAAACTATGTCAGTACAAAATTTCACACAAATAGGTTCAGAAGTTTAGGCGTAAAGAAAAGACAGACAGACTTTACTTTCGGATTTATAATATTAGTTTGGATAGAACCTAAGAAGATAATAAAGAACCGCCGCGCCGCTGAAAATTTCGAAAGAGTCAGGCAACAAAGAGTTAAGTGCTGTGAAGTGTAACGCTACTGCTCATGAATCGTGTTGTTGTGTGTGTGTTAAATTCTTGTTATGACTTGAAAGTAGAAATGCATCTTAGTTGATCTATGTGATTAAGTCGTTATTAAAAACAACCTTTTTACTTATGTATATGATTTTTGAAATCAAACTTCTATATTTTTGGTACTACAAAACTAACGACAAAAGAAACTAAGTAAGAAAGGCTATAAAATAATAAAAATCAACAAGATAAAATCTTAATTAAATTACAACAATGTCATTCAAATTACGTAGAATTAAAAATTAAGTGCATTCTGCAGACTTTACGACGTACACTAAAAATCTTAAAGAGTCATCGACTAAGAAAAAAATCGTCCAAATAGCCTGTTTGCGTTTTTTGCAAACATTTACTTAATAAGTCCAATTTATAAAAACAAAACAATTATTTCGTAAAAGGCAAAGTTAATGGAATTTAAATGGGACTGTTGACTTTAAAATAGCAATTAAAAAACTATTAATCTTTGTATATTAATTAAATCTTTGGAATGATATGCAAAATATTTAAGCCATTATCGTATTAGACAGTAAAATTTTCAGTATAGTAAAATATTTAGACTCAATTATTCTAAGAATTTGCTACTGTGATGCCTCATTGAGTTTGGCCTCGAAGGAAGAAATGGTACAGTCAGCCAAATAATTTAGGATGTAGGTAATAAAATAAATATTGCTATAGCTTTTAAACGAAAGAATCATCTCTGTAAAGTATAAGGAATGCTTGAATGTGAAACAAATTAAAAAAAAATACTGTCAGCCTAGAGTAGTAGTTCCAATCGCAAATTCAGATTTTATTATCAATTTCACAATCAAATTTTGATTTACATTATTAAAGTATTTCAATTATCTACAAACAATATTAGGTAGAGGTAGCTATCATCATATGGCTACTGAAAGCTACTGATTTACCCAGTGGTTACTGTCTGTATTAGTAGTGACGGTTACCACTGAGCGGTTGTAATGGATTTAGATCCATCTTCATTTTCTTCCCTGTACACAAAATACTTTGGCTGCCTGTACTACTTTTACACCGAAAGTAAATTCAGTAATAAAAATGCCAGTTAAGACCGTTAAAACAACTTATTGCTTTAGCTTACTGAGTTCTATATTCATAGATTTGAGGTCTACAGTCCCGAAGTCTTTTTGAATAGATGGAATTTGTGCTAAGTCATGAATGATCCTGAATTTCAATAGTGCCTAAATATTTTAAAATAGTGGTTTTGTAACGCTGAATTGATTGATTTTAATTAAATACCCAGAACACAAATTTTTAATTCCCTAACTTCCAAATATTCGACTTGGCACTTGGACTGTAACTCCTCTGGTTTTAGTTTTGGTTCCTTCGCATGTCCATGGCAACACTGATCGATTAAATTAAAACATAATAGATTTTACTTTCAAGATCAGGTACAATATTTATTTTTATACATACTTTATTGCACACACACACAAAAACATGGTTAGTTAGAATAGAAAAATGTTGTAAGTATAATTGGCGGTCTAAGCAAACAAGATTTATAAAAAAAACTTGGGCATGGGTATTGAAGAGTACAATTGACTATAAACAAAATAAAATAGAAACATAAACAAAGACAGTAACATAACACGATAACGAATGTTATATAATAGAACTTACCTAATAATGGATTTTGGATGGGAACTCCAAAATCAAAATTTAGTTTTAACAAAACAAATACTGCCACTTCTCAACCACGATTATTTTTTCATTATATAGTTTACTTTCAAATCCGTTATACAAATATTACAAACTCTGTGTCAAATCTGTTTTATGTAGCTTCGGGGATTTTTCAATTAGATAGTCAACAAAGAATTTGTTTAACAAAAACCCGTAGTCAAAGGCCACAATGTGGGTTTTTGAATATTAATATTAAAGCCCTAACGCAAAATGGGTTTAGCCAGCTGACCGATTATATTTTTTAGGTTTATTGTTATAGGATCCTTTATTTAGTCAGCAATTTGCTCATTGTTTGGAATAACTTATAATATAATTGAGTATAACATTTGTAACTTAGTTCGTATGTTATTAAAAATAACGATGTATGATATAATTTTCCGTAGAAATGTCTTCGTGGAATTTATATTAATTTGTGGTTTCATGTCTGCTTCTGAGAAGGGTTGAGAATTTTGTGTAATAATGTATATTCATTTCGCTTCTAAATCTATAATTTACATAAAGATATTATAGTATATGCTTTTCTTAAGAATGTTATAGATTTTTGGAAGTATACTAACTAATATTTTAATTTTTCGAAATATCTCAAACTTTATTACAAAGTGTACCTTTTTTATTAATTCTACTTTCGTTGTCGTTAAAGGTTTGACATAACATTAAAACATGCTGTTCCCTCTGCAATAAACTAGGATCCCATTAACCCCACTTACGGCGTAGGGGGTAAAAAGTGTTGATACCAAAGTTTTTGCCGGACAAATGAGCCGAGTTACAAAAAATGCGATCCCCTTCACATAAATCGTGTAAAGGAGGGTTAATCTCAACTTAAAATCAGACCTCACTCTAGTTTTCGTGAGGTTTCTGTCGGATATAAGGCTTACTTCTAACTGCAGTTCCCTAAGGAACTTTAAGTATACGACTTCCTTATAACATTAGTTTCAACTGATTGGAAAATGGGAGAAAGCAGTGGTTGTGTGTGATTAGTAGAAATAATGTTATTGAATTCTTTTTGTATAATGTTTGCTGAAATTCATTATTCTTATTAAGTGCCGACTACAGACAAAAGGCATGAAGGACATGAAACGGACAATGCTCACTCAAGGCAAATTAGTAGTATTTTTAAAAAAATGCTGCAAAATTGTGTCTTGCAGCATTTTTTATTTACATAGTCTAGAAATTTTGTACTGTTTAGCAAAATAGGTTAACGCTACCCCCAGTCTTATCTCCATGCAATATTAAGATCAATATTTTGGAGTAGCATATAGGTTGAGATAAGGATGTATGCTTGCAATTTTTCACCTGGCAAACTCCACTTCACTATGCAAACACCTTTACTATTCAGTGACATGACAGATTTATGTGGTGTGCGCTTTTCGGTTACATCGCCCGGTTTTCTCGGTGTGTTTGTGCCAAAACGTTCTCTCGAATTAGGAAGTTGTTTGACGTCGGAATTTACAAATTTTCTAATTAAAATTTTAGCAGCTTAGTATGTCGAGTTTTATTTTAAAATCCGTTTAGAGTAAAATTCTCATAGCTGAGACGTATTTGACGAATTACAAGTACACTAGCGATCTGTCCCGATGTTGCACGGTTGACATGCTGCACACGGCATACACACACACGCTGCTTTAACGGCACACTGGTGTAATGCGGATACTAAAGTTATTTAATCATTATCAATTAAAAAAACCGCATCACAATCCATTGCGTAGTTTAAAAGATTTAAGCAGATTAAATTTAAAATACTTAGTATCCCTTTCCAAGTCAGTGACATAGGTATCTATGTAAATTTTATCGGTTACTTCATAATTACCTAATACTTATTTTGGATCTCAAGAAAAATGGTTTATATGCCATTAATTGTTTTACTATATATAGTAAAAGTCTCTTTATTTATCAATTATATACAATGCATAATATGCATACACTGTACATTGTACATGTATGTCTCTATAACATATATCACAACATATGAACAAAACTCACCCTGAAAAAGTTAATTTCTTTCTATACACGTAGCAACAAAATACTTATCCCCAATTTTAACCAATCTACCTACCCAAAAATCACGCATAAAATTGTTTTCGAATTTTAAAACCCATAAGCTATCAGTCCTTCGTCACTACCGAAGCATGAAAAGTAATCCCACAAATTTCCGCGTTCTTCTATTTCCAACGCATTACAAATAGTTCAGTCGCTTTGTTATAAAAACGAAGTAACCGACGTGTATCTAAACAAATCACTTTGTTTACAAAGGCTAACAACTGACAGACTTATATTTACAGCTCAGAAAATACATATTCTAGCATTTTGAATTTTATTCTGTAGGCCATTTGATCGATGATTAATTTCGTCAGCTGCATTTTAAGTTGGTTGTAAAAGTAAAGATTAATGATCGCAAGTCAGTGCATATGATTGTGTATAATAAAAGCGGTCATCTGGTCGAATTAAAGTCGTTCTCATTTTGAAATCTTTGAATCAGTAAACGCGGGAAGTGTGTATGTAAAGTAACCTGATTTTGAAGTTGCTACATAAATTAATCATTTAATCTAAATTTGTATGTTACTTTGCTTCTTGCTCGCTCAAAGTTCAAATAAATATATTTAATTTCTTTGATTTTTTAGTTACATATCCAAAACTCTATAAATAATATTTAATAAAAGCTAAAGGATTTACTTGTTCGTTTGAACACGGTGCCTGAGCAATCAGTTGCCATGCAACGTGTCCCGGGATCGGTTCCCGAACAGAACAATTATTTGTGTGATTCACAAATTGTTGTTCCGGGTCTTGCTGTTTGTGGAATTATGTGTTTGGAAACATATCCATGACACAGGACCCTTTTGAAAAAAGAAAAAAGTACTGATTTAAGTTGAGTGACTTTTTGTATCGGACAGTTCATATAGCGAGGTAAGCTCTAGGCTATATATACTCGTAACATTACGGTAAAGCCAAGCTAATAAATAAATAAATAATAAGCCACGAACAAACACCAAACAACTCATTAATTATATTAATAAACATTATAGATAAAATCATAATATATGCGACAGGACATACATACTACTTCAAAATCAACTAAAGGTACTTTGAGCCGACTCTATTAGGATTTCAATGAGACATTAAGATAATAAAAGAATTCAATCACAGATACCTATTTAAAATAACTACAGTACATTGTCAACAAATCTTCGAGTCTTCAAATCGATGCTTCATGATCTGCATACTAAATAGAGTTTTTGTAATGCTACTTAATCTAAACGTTAAGGTGAGAAGACGCATACCAATGATCTTGATCTAAATGATAAACATTGTCAAAGACGTTTGAAAGAGCCATTTGTACGTTAAGTTAAAGGTAATGAGATTTTAAAAAAATGTTCTTTTTAATGCAAGTATAGATTTTTGGAAAAAGAAATACATTTTCTAGAACTAAAATTCTTCTAAGACACAATGAATTAATTAGGAGTTTTAACGGCTTACTTACGTAGCTATTTGACAAGGAACTCGACTAGTTTCAAGGCTCGCTGGGGCTCATATTCATGAATCATACGTACATGCAATACAATGTCACACAGCTAACTCTTTCAATTGTTTGTTTAATTTTGGAGAGGTTGGACAGATTCTTCCAGAACCCCTGGTGTACTTAGACTAGCATGATACATTACATTTAGATGCAATAGTAGACAGTCCGAACCTAAAAAAGGGGACGTTTAAAAGAAAAAAAATCACATGCGCGATATGTAATTTTTTTAATCAATTTCAAGTCATCTCTGAGTCACGTAATCAACAAATGAATTTCAAAAATAGGGATAACTGTTATCAATTCTGAATTGGTAAGGGGCATTGATTCCAAGTTTAAAACTATGTTTGTGCCAGTCGCTCTTCGATACTTCGAAAAATAAAGCCATATAAGAAAAGAAAAACAAATAAAAGTGCGCCACGCCAAGGTGTTATCAGGATTCGCACTAACTTACCCTGTACAAACGACTTTGGGAAGTGCATGAAGACTTGGGTCTCGATAACATGTATGGGAACATATTATGGGTAGAAGTGGAACCCCTCACATAACGACTTCTTATGTTACACATATAAATAATATGCTTCCATCAGAATCTGTCTCGAAGAATGAATTCTTTTACGACCTAATGTTTTTAGCCGTTCGTTAATGTTAATGGAGAAGGTAAAAAAAACTTAATGATTAATAAAATTTCTTTTATGTAATTTATGATATGAATTTATTAAAAGTTGGTAGCTACATAATCGTAAAAGGTTTCCTTGATGGCGGAAAAGATATTATTCTTGGATATAACTAAAGGAATTGAAAAACATAAGTTGTAATAAAGTTAATAATAATCATCTGAAATCGTTGTTTCTTTAAGAGTTGGTTGAATTTTCTGTTTTTTATGGATTAATTCCGTTAAGAACTTTAAGAATTCCTATTATTAAAAATAGAATGTGTTCTCTTGAATATTAGTACTTTATTCAAAATTAGAAGTTTTATTTTTTAATAATTATATCCTTTATAATGGTTAGCAAAAAGTTTACAATATATTATATAGCATTAGATAGCCGATAAAAGTTTTTTTACTAAGAAAAGTGGCCAACTATTAGCCTAACCCAAGTATTTTTCTTTCTAGATCTCTTCGTTGGGCTGATCTACGTGTTTCCAGATATAATTCAGAAGATCACCATTGCGTGGTTGGCTGGAGAGTTTATGTGCAAAACTGTGAAATTCCTTCAGGTGAGTTATTTATCATCAAGTCATAACCTAATTATTTTGCGCGAATAACTAACAAAACTTTTCTAGAAAATGAACTGTTTTGTTTTAATATTAAATAACAAAACAAGAGCAAAACCGATCCTTATTTGTTCGGAATAAAATTTAAAATTGACTTTGAGCTAATCTATAAATTGACGGTACCTTTTAAATGAGGCAAGCTAAAGTTTTTAAGTTATGTCTACTAATTTACATCTGACTGGCTTTAAAATAAAGAACATCCCAAGTTCAGATAAGACATTTAGTTCACCTGCTACCAAAAAAACTGAACCCATCTGAATACATTTCTTCCCCGTCAGAATATTAATAGAAAAAGGCACATATTTTATGCCAAAGTTGCAGTCACGTTCTGAAAAAAAAAAAAACTTTAAAAGTGTTTTGTGTGTGTTTCGGTAAAGGAGCAAACGGATACCTGATGATAAGCAATCAACCCCGCCCATGGACATTTGCAACATCATATGAGATGGAAAAGAGTTGTTGTTCTTTTGGAGATTATGAGATTTTTACGATTTTGGTATTGGGGAAGGCTGGAAGGAGGGAAGGATTGTTTAGAAGAATAATTTGAATAGAATAATCCAATCAACTGAAGTTCCTTAATTTTAGATGTAAAAGAAGTTAAATAAAATAAGTTTTTATATTTAGTAATATTGATTTGAAGAAAACAACAGTGTTAAAAAATCATAGTGACTAAAAAAATGTCTGTCCCTAAGTAAAATAATCATTACTCAACTAAGTGATCCAGAATTGTTTTAAAAATAAAAGTATCATTTAAAACTGAATTAGAACTAAAGACACACACACAACAGATTTTGTTTAAAACTAAAAAGAAAATAAATTGAATGTAGTAACAACATCAGCTGATTATAATACAGTTCTGAAAAATGTTAATTCAGTGCCAAAGAAAACAAAATATATTTAAATCAGCGCGAGCGGTCTGGAACCCGATATAATAAATAAACAAATGTAGCAACGTGCTTCTGTTGTAGTTTCTGAATATGAATTCATTATGGATGTAAAAGAAGCGTAAACAATATAATAATTAAGCCACAAGAAATACTAATAATAGATGGTGAAGAAAGATATATTTATTAACGATGTGGAAAACATATATACTATTATTATATTTTTTACAAATTCATATCACACAAAACCAACAAAACATGGATGTGGATCGCGCTACAAAAAAATAAACTGTGTGGGAATGGAACCCAACTGCGTAGCTACGTTACGTTGCACAGTAGCCGTTTGGCTAGACTATGCACTAACTACACACATAGCAAAACAAAAAAAAAAAAAAACAATTTGAAACTTTTTGTCCGAAAAAAACATTCGTTGAAAACATCACGCATTGGGATAAAATTAGAATAGGTCCAGAAAGTAGCTACAAAACTTAAAAACCAACAACTTTACACGTATTATGGAGCTAAGATGGGTTTAGCGTCAAAAACCCAATTTTATAGCAGTGCTTCCCACTTTGTTTAAAGCCATTATTATTAAGAGCTTATCTTTCCAAAACAACCAACAAGAAACACCAGATTACTACATTGTCCGTATCTATCGTGACTTATAATTAGCAAATAATAAAAAAATGTAGTTATAGCGAAAAATATTAGGTTAACAAAACGAATTTTTACACTTATTTCGTAATTTTCTACCCATTATCGTGACGAAAAATGTTTGATATAATTCATTACTGAAAATATAATTAAAATTAATTGCAAAAATTGCGAAGATACCATTAAATATTAAAGAGTTTGCCTCAAGCAAACCCCAAGTTTGGTTACGAAGATAATTTTATGAGTGCGCTAGTTCTTAACTTTAATTAGAGTTCGGTAAATTAAGTCGAAGAGCTTAGTACAAATGTTTTTAAGTTGAAGTTAGGTAAGTTGTTTTTAGACAACGATATTCTCTGTAATGATAACGTTGATGTTGAATTGGTTGGTCGTAAAGTTAAGGCCTATTTCGCTACTTTGATATAAGTACCTATAATCTTATGTGGCACATATATATGTCTTAACAATATGAGGATGTACTTGTTAGATAGTGGATATTCAAACAAAAATTCGGTCTTAATTGTACATCATTGTTGTATTTATACAAAACTAGCGCTATCAAAGGGTCACTTTTTTCTAATCTTCCCCTCTATTTTTCTAATATTTTCTTTGATAAGAACCTTCTCCTAACTATAAGAAATACACCAAAAAATATAATTGTTTAAATAGGTCCAGGCGTTGTCGATTTATGCGCTTACTAACACATTTTGCGATCCATTTTTATTTAAATAGAAGATGAATTCCAATTTTCCTCAGTCATGTCACTACGTGTGAGCGGCCAAATTGATTTAGATAATTATTTTTTAATGTGTTATCATAATGGACAACAGAATAAAGTTTGCCTCAAGCAAACCCCACGTTTGTTGTGTAGTTGCTTTGATGATGTCTAAAGTTTTTCTTTTTATTTATATTTCCAGGCTGTGGTGATGTACGCGTCGACGTACGTCTTGGTAGCGCTGAGCATAGACCGGTGTGATGCCATCACGAATCCCATGAACTTTTCTGGAAGCTGTAAGTATACCCTGATGTAAGGTCTACTATTTTTCCAAATAGTTGGTAAGGTTACGCTCCTATCAGGGCTTTGGGCCTCAAAAAGCCAGGGTTACGGTGGTAGTGTGTAATAACGTAGGTACAGCGGCTCTGGCCTAGGGCAAGAATAGGAATAGGGTGATTTTTAGTCTGCAAGTGACCGACTCTTCCTCTCGCCCCTTCTTTTAAAAAAAGCCTTAATGGAAAATGTATGACGATCAACGTCAATCTTACCATCAGGTTCTCTGAGCTCATTCAACCAGGGTTTAAATGCAATGGTTGATGTCATGTCATCGTTTGCTTGGAATAACTTTTACTACTTACATATTATTAAAAAGTCACTTTCTCTGTCCATATATCCCTATGTACATATGCTTAAATTTTTTGAACTACGCAACGGGTTTTGATGCCTTTTTGTTTAAAAGGTAGGGAGATTAAAGAGAAAGGTTTATAATTTTGTATCAGCATAGCATCCGTCCAAAGCTGGGGTGGGTCGCTAGTTAAAAATAAAGCTTTTTATAATACGTATTTGATCGAATTAGGAACTAACCTTGTGTTTGGTTATCATGACTCACTCAAGGCGGCTACGGTACTGATTGAAAAAATATCTATTTTACTTTCACTAAAAATAGAACGTCCGAATTAGATTCTGTTGAAAATAATGATTTCCATAATGGAATATTTATGTAACATAAGACATTTCACAATATTGTCATTTAATTGAGTAATATTCTCAACTTGTTTATAGCTCAGTAAAGTAATAAAAAACTTGGTGTCAAGAGAAATAAAATGTCTTTGTGTAAGTATTAAAATTAGGAACAAGTCATGTTTAAAAAGTTGAATTAAGATGTCAAAGAATGAACACGTTTTATGGACTGTAAAAATTAAACACTGAATTTTGTTAACGAAACCTTAAGGAGAAAGTATGCTAGGTTTTTTTTTTGTTTATAAAACTGTGTTTATATTATTTTAAAACTATTATTTAACAAGAATTGACCTTTTAAACATTATTGTTATTATGGTAGACCGGGTCGCAAAATTATTCAAAGCTACACATATAGTTTGTTTTTCTTGCCTTGGGTGTTTTTTTCCTTTTTTTGTGAGGGGAAAATCATCAAATGACTTCTCCCGCCCAAGGCCGAGCGGGAGGGAGAGTCAGACTCTTACTGACTAAAAACATCCCCGTTCCTTCTCCTGCTCTGGGCCGAAATTGCGGTGCCTCATTGCGCTTACCCCGCAACCCCGGCTGAACATCAGCCCTTTAGGGCCCCGTCTGTGGTGGTCTATTGGCTCTTTGAGGCGCGCGCGGAACGCTACGCTGATTGACGTGTAAAAGTGTCGTTTTATGGCCTATTTGCAAAAATAAATTCGTTTAAAAAATAGTTTTGTTGTTACGCGCCGTTTCTTGCCTTGGGTGGAGCGAGAATGAACGTCACACTTCTACTGGCCGATTCTTCTTTTGCTCCACACCGAGGACGCGGTATAGTTTTACGCAACCCCGGGTATAAAAGTTTAAACTTTATGTTTGTCTATGAGCAGGAGCTCGTGAAAAATTTTAGGTCATGTTTCAAATTTAAGCTTTCTTCTTTCAATTTTTGGTATGTATGGTATGTATGTATGTATATATTTGGCCCTAAGAGAGGTCTTTTTTTACAAAACTTTGCCCCACACTAGGATTTTCTTATGTGTCGTGGGTGCGTTTTTTTCTCATTCACGTCACACCCAGACCCGAAACAACAATTTGTGGATCACACAAAGAGCTGTTCGTGCGGGAATCGGTTTTTTTTTAAATAAAATTTAAGATTACAAAAAACAAAACAAAATGTCAGTTCCTTTATTATTGTATCTTCAAAACGATTGTCTAGTATTTAGTACTGTTAACTTGTAACAGTTTTTAAAATAATTTTTTCTTGAATTTCAGGGAACCGAGCGAGGGCTCTTATCGTGTCAGCGTGGCTCATCAGCATTGTCTTCTCTATCCCTCTTCTGATACTGTACGAAGTGAAAGAAGTTCAAGGTAAGACATAATTAAAACATAGTATCATGTATTGTTTTAATTTTTGGAAGAGTTAGCAACACGTCTGCGCAGTGTATGCAATGCAAGCTACTTGACACCAATATAAAAATAAAAATGGTATAAGTAGCTTTACCTATTTCTCATTTTATTTGATCGCTCCAAACGTTTAGTATCACATTTATTACCCATAACTTAGATGTCATCGGCTATACGGAGGAGATATCACCTTAATTTTTTAACCAAAGATATGAAACTCCCTTCTACTCCCTAAGCGTCGTCGCCTCATTTAATTCGTCGTTGAAATTGATGACGTCTCCCACAGCATTAACTTTACCCCCAAAATCCGACAAATCAATCCAAAATAGGACGACCCTATTTTTTTTTTTCAGCCCAACCTCAAGAATTGAGGAAGGGCTCAAAGCAGTATGGTTAATGAAAAAATGTTTTACTTTCAAATATTGACCCACTTCCGCATCGGGTTACGTCTTAAAATCGAATTGACTTTTAGAGATGTCAATTCGATTGAATTTGGAACCCCTTATTACACATTAGCTGCACGAATTGTTTTTTTTCACTTAGTTACCTGTTACCTTTGACCTCTCGTTTCTGTTTGCATCGAGTGAATTGGAGGACGTATGCGTTTAGTTTCAAAAACTTGATATTTTGAGATTATGCTAAAACTGTTTGAGAAAATATTATGTCCCATGAATTCTATGTATATAAAATATCATCTGTATATCAAAAAGTTTGGTTGATACATACTTAAATTGTACCATCATTGTACACTCAAACAGATTTATGATTTTGGAAACTCTTTAACAACTTTTTCTTCTACTTTTTAGGTCAGATGCAATGCTGGATAGACTTAGGAACCCCTAGACGGTGGCAGATCTGGATGTCTTTGATATCCATCATGATCTTCGTGCTGCCAGCGTTGACGATAGCAGCCTGTTACGCTGTGATAGTCCTCACTATATGGACGAAGAGTAAGGCCGTCGTTATGAGCCCGCCTATTAATTCTAGGAGAACCAAGACTATGAGAAATGGTAAGTCTTTTTAGTTCAATTTCAGTTAAATTACAAATTACAAATCATAGTAACCTGACAAGACACACATGACAAGTTGTCCTCATTCTTTCACAGATAATTAATTATTGTTTGACTTTTAAATGGATTCTTGCAAAATGATGTATAATGGTATTTCTAAAAACAAAAGCCGTACTGAAAAGCGATAACGTTTTTAATACAAAAAGAAAAGTATAAACACGCACTTCGATCGTAAATCAACCAACACCACATTTCCTCGATCATAACCTTCTAAACCGTTTACCGACTCATGGATGAACTTGAAACATTATTTTTAAATCGCCCTTTTATAAACCGAGAGTGTTTATAGAGAAACAACTAAAACCACACAATAAAACAAAAATACCACTTAATCCTACTAAATGTTACAAGAAACAGATGGTAGATGTTAATGAATTCTTGGAATAGAACGAGGATTAACATTTTAATAATGTCGATTTTTAAGCGTGGCCAAATGCTAGCATTTGTTTTTGTGTTTATACATAGGTTTTCATACAATAATTTAATTCGTTCGAGAATTAAACCGCAACATCTTTTGCGTCAGCCAATAACCTAGCCACTATGTCGATTCATCATCATCATCAGCCTATAAGTGCCTACTGCCGAGCAAAGGCCTATTCTCGGACGAAGTAGGTTAGACATTAATCATCACGCTTGCTCAAATTGGCGCTTGTAAATTGCACGGATTGGCGATGTCAAACTTATAGTTAGAAATTATAAGTCCAGGTTTCCGCAAGATGTTTTCCTTCACCGTAGCTATATATAATGTGTCTTAATAATATAAGATAGTACATTATAACTCGAGAAAAGTCACATTGGTACTCGTCAGGTTTTTAAGCACTCTCATGCATGAGAAGCGAGCGCTTAAACCGCTGGGCTACCACGACGCGGTTTCAACGATGCAGTCAGAATTTAATGCGATTTTCGGTGACTTTTTCAGGTCAGGTGGAAAGTGACCCAGATTCAAGACGAGCCAGTTCAAGAGGACTAATTCCTAGAGCAAAGATCAAAAGTGTCAAGATGACATTCGTTATTGTTTTCGGTAAGTATATTTAGACTGTCTGATTTATTTTCGTACTTCTTTGATCGTTTGTAGATCACATATGCGGTTGTGTCCCGCTGGTGGCCGAATTATTCTATTTCAGTTTGGTAATGATTTAAATTTATTTTTATGAGTTAGTAATGAGCTTCGGAAGTGTAAAGATTATACTCCTTAGATCAATTTTTTTTAAGAATTCTAATTACCTAGTTAGTTTTAGTAAAAAGAATGGTTACATTTGAAATATTGATATAAATATTTTATCCACAAAACTAGTACATTTACAAATATCAGTCCATTGTTCACCAGTTGCCGAAATTATGTCGAATTTTGATAGTTGGCTCCTGTTCAAATTAACACTCGATAGTCACACTAAAACACCTCTATAAACCCAAAAAAATATGTCATCAAAATTCAATATTAAAATTTTCTCTACCCGAAGTTTAATTATAATCAAAAACTACAATAACAATTTCAACCCTCATGATTAAATAATAAGGCACTCATTTGTATTCAGATAAGTTTATTACCGAATCATTAATATTTAATGAGGCTAACAATCAGAGCGTATGAAGTTCACATTGACTGTTCACTCAATCATTCTGCGATAATGAAGCAACTTCAGTGTAAACTGTTTAATTTTCATGAAAAAGTACCTATTTACCATATTAATTAGCTCGAGGCCTTTAGACGAAATTTTATTATCTCTAGGCGATATCATTCATTTATTTTTTGAACCTGTTCTAGAACGAACGGTTTTAATTGCGTCGATTTTTTTTGTAATCTTAAAAAAGAATCTAGATTGACACGATTTTTGAATTAGACGAAGTTGTTTTTTTAAAGTAATATTGAAAGGGTGTTTCTAAAGAGTGTTGTTTATTAATAAAATCTTTATTATTATGTACCTAGTAAGTTCTGTGATTTTAGAGTTTCTTGCTCGTTTTTCTATAAAAAAATATATGAATGGAAATTAGTAAATATTATTATCGATAGCCATTCTTTATATTGATTGACTATAAAAAGTGTCTCTAACACCAAATTGATTTATTGACTGAAAAAAAAGAATTATTCATTCTATTTTTTATTTTCTTGGTGTATCTTAATTCTTTTTATACTTTTTGTTCCACAGTGTTCGTGCTATGCTGGTCTCCATACATCGTGTTTGATCTCCTACAAGTATACGACCACATACCACCGACACAGAACAACTTGGCTATAGCTACCCTCATCCAGAGCCTGGCGCCGTTGAATTCAGCGGCGAATCCATTAATCTGCTGCATGTTCTCACCACACATTTACACTAGCCTCAGGTAAATATTAACAATTTATTAAAAGTAAAATGGTTAAGGCCACACGAACAACATTATAGTTTATTTATTTTATTTTAAACACACACTCATGATATTTTATTTATTTATTTATTATATGTACTTAATTATGTTTATTTATTTTATCAACATGATACTCACGTTACTTATTACTCACTACATACAAATTCATACTCAATTTCAGACGAGTAGCACCGTACAAGTGGGTATAACTTTATTTGCAGACGGGTTCCGCCTTACAAGTGGCTGTGGTGCGGTCGACGACGCAAGCGACACGCTCGAGGAACTGTCCGCTCAAGATCTGACTCAACAGCCAACTCTGATCTGCTTAGTTCGACTCACGCGAGAAGGTCGCATTCTGTCGCTACGGTAAGAGAAAAATTTCAAAATATTCATTGAAAAAAGCATTAATATGTCGAATTGAGACACCTACTTCGTTTGGAACTCAGTTCAAAATAATAAAGAATCGACAGTCCAACTTGGGCGCCATTAATATTATTGGCGCCCAACAGGGACTGACTATAAAACAATCAATCAATTCCAATTGTTTACGGTCTTGTAGGAAAGACCAGACAAATTTACCATGCAATCATTTTATCCTTCAAATGTCGCATAGGCGCAACGTTAGCACAGGATTTTACTTTAACAGTTTTAAAGAAAATTTAACAGTGATATGCAAATTTTTACTTTCAGATACTAAACCGAGGCCGAAGCAGTAGCATGACCAGGGCACCAGTAGACACACGACGCACCCAGCTGTTGGTGCTGGTGTCATCGCGCGACTGACAACGAGCCGTGCACGAGCCCGCTAGAGATGTAATGCTCTAGCGCCAGTGCATGGCGTGTGCACGATCACACGCCGCTAGTGTGTACAGGGGCAATCTTTAAAAACCCTGTATTCAAACTAGCAAGAAAAAAAAATAAAGGGGTCATTAACCTCTGGTGACAGTTCATTATAAAAGGCATCTCAAATCAGCAATTCCTCTGTGAATTTTAGAATGATTAGAAAATAAAGAGGTCAATGACCTCTGAAAAGAGGTCATTATAAAAGGCATATTATATCGTGTATTTCCTCGGTGAATCATTATAATCAATTTGTATAAAGTATCGATAGGTAACGAATGTGATCTTTTGTATTTTCTTGGCCTTAAAATATTTTTCAACAGACGAATAATAAGGTTCAAAGTTTAAAAAAAGAATAAGTACATACATACACACATAATTAAAACAGATTTTGAACTTAAAGTCAGTAAACTTAAAGTTCTTATCAGCATTTTGCAGAACAGTTTGAAGTCTAGTCATACATCGATTAACTTATTTATTTTTGTAATGTAAGGAAAGATCAAAGCATTTATTATATATACATATTTCATTTACATTAGTTATAAGTTACAATAATAATAATAATAGGAGCAGATTTTTTTGCCAAAATTTTCAACGAACTGTGAAAACGACTGTAAGCTAGCCATATATTAGTAAAATTGGATTTAAAAATACACAAAATAGAAAAAGCTGAAAAATCTGTCTAATTATTATTGCAAATTGATTTTAGAAATATCCATATTTTTTCCAAAAATGTTTTTGACATAAAATCGAAGAGGCATTAAAATGTTAATAATGATATAATTTTCTAGGCATATAAATATAAATTATTTAATATTGTATATTGGAATGATAAATGAGATAAAGAAAAGAAATGCCAAATTCTAATTGAATAGTCGTAAAATAAATTCTTAAAAAAGAATGATATGTAAGTTAATGGAACTGAAAATATGAAACTATTATAAATAATTATTGTATTAAATATAAATTATTATTATTAAAATAAAATTATATGTATTTTAGGTATAACTAGTACCCGTTTAAATAAGTATTAAATATCGAGATTTGTAATTATAATTGTCAGTCATTTTATTATAGGTAATGTAAACATGTAAATTGTAAAGAGGCTTTTATTAAATCGCGTAGTTATATGTACAATTATTTTTGTACTGTGAATAATTATACTATTGTAAAGAAATATTGTCTTAAACTGTATTAGAGAAGCTATTAAATGTTGTATCAGTGAATATATTATCGTTTTTTTTTTTTTTTCCCTTTCTATGCTTGTGTAATGTTAATCCCATACATTGACATTTCTATTCACTAGTTTGACTAGTGCTGTAAAATAAGGCAACAAATCAGAAAAGGTTTTATAAGACCCGTTAAAAACACAAATTCTTTGACAGAGTCTGTTTTCCCGAACTGAGTATCTTCAAGGCTCAAGTGAATTGTTTGTTCACTTTGTGACAAGTAGTGTGGTAGTAGTATGATGGTGGATATACACTTACTACTTGATTACATTTATTATCAAAGTTCAACAAACATTTTTTCCTCATAATAATAATAATTCTCATTTAAAATAATATGAAACATGTATGGTCAAACTTTCGTCCCATTCTATTTCACACACAACTAACGCCATCTCTGATACAATACCCGAACTAAGTTGCCAGGGGTAAGAGATGAGTTCGTAGCGTAACCTGACTGCGTTGCTATATAAGAAACAAGAAATTGTGCTCTTTAGTGGAGGAAAAATCATCAAACGACTTCTCACGCCTGGTGTATGGCGAGAGGAAGTGTCAGACTGTACTGACTAAAAACACCGTTCTTCCTCATGCTCCAGGCTATGGTATGTACAAGCTTTTGACCCGCAACCCGGCTAAGCATTGAACACCTTGAACCTCATCATTAGAGGTAAATCTGCATTTTTGGTGTCTAAAATAGGAAAAACGCTTGAAAGTAATTGAGAAATCAGGTGTGGATAACACTTTCGTGAATTTATAATCAACCCCATTATTTTTCCAAATAAAATATATTTATAACATTTGCTATTAATTTCTTTACTTAAGTCTGTCTTTTTAAGCCGATACATTCTTTATAACCGAATAACAGACTTATTTTGCTTGAACATAAGTCTGATATTTACTTACTTGCAAGCAAAAACAAACTTTTTAGACTTAATAATAAAACTTTCTACCGTTGAACAATAAGGTCGTAAAACTACGATTCCATTTTTAAACTCAGCTATGTTATCGTAAAAATATAACCTTAAAAATCCGGCTAAGCCTTCACATGTTTACTTACGACTCTAGCTAAGACCTAGACTCGCAAGTCTAGACTTCAGTCCACGATTTAAAGACTGGATTAAGTCTCAAATCTAACTTATAAAAGTATATTATATAGTTTGACATAAAATTTCGTCACGTCATGCTTGAGTATTTGTTATGGACATAAAATGTCTAAATGCGACCAAAGTTATTTTGAAAACCATAATTTATACTTTTTACGATGGCAAACGAACTGGCAGATTAGTTGGTTAGCAATCGGCGTAGCCCATGGTTTACAATACCAGAGAAGCTATGAGGGCCAAGGCAGTGCTGGCCTTTAAAGAGTTAGGGAATTGGTGGGAGTTTTGGGCTTCCTTTTAACCATGGATATGGTGTTAAACCTTTTGATGTGGGAGAGCTACATATGCTTCGTCACGAATGTGTTGGTTCGACCGAAGTGATAGCTGCGCGGCAACCATAGCGGTGTGATTCGCCGTATGAGTGAGGTTACGGGAGGCCCAATCCTTTTCCTCCTCCCAAAAGTACGGCAAAGCATTCGAAGCTCCTCGATGTTTCAGGTGATACAGGAAAGAAATAAAATTGCATGTTTTGTTCCCAGCCAGCTTTTTGTGAAGCCACGCAGTGTGGTTTCGTTATAACGTTGTAATGTTATAACTCAACAATGCCTTTACCGATTTGGCTAATTTTGGTCTTTAGTGATTTGTGAAAGTCCAAAAAAGGTTTGTACGTAGCGAAAACTTATAAAAATCTTGAAAATGTATTTTAGAAGTTATTCGTGGATAATTAAAACGCATTGGGTACCAACATTTATATTATTATCTACTAGCTATCGTTAGCGGCTGCACCCTCGTGGTCATCATCATCATCATCAGCCTATAAGTGCCCACTGCTGAGCAAAGGCCTCTTCTCATACGGAGAAGGTTAGAGCATTAATCACCACGCTTGCTCAATGCGGGTTGGCGATTTCAAACTTATAATTAGAAATTATAAGTTCAGGTTTCCTCACGATGTTTACCTTCACCGTGTGTCAGTGATGTCTAAATAATCATAGAAAGTACATTTAACTCAGAAAAAAACACATTGGTACTTGCCAGGTTTCGAACCCACACCCTCATGCATGAGAAGCGGGCTCTTTAACACCCTCGTGGTATTTCGATAAAAAGCCTATATGTTAATCCAGGGTATCACATACAATATACTTACAAAATTTCAACTACATCCATCCAGCCGTTTGATTTTCACTCGTATGTGTTAAGATATTAAGTTTAATGTAATAATCGAAAACCGACTATATAGAATGTTTATTAGAAGTAGGTCAGATCACAAGGGAGTATCGATAGTGCGAGGAAGTTTTGATAAATAATAATATAAATATTTGGAGAGAAATTTGGCCGAAGTTAGAAGTTAACACAACATAATAACATTAGAAACCTGTTATTGCTTAGAAGTAAATGGAATAGACTAAGTTTTTTTTCAGTTACGATAAGAAGTGTTAAGAATTATAACACACTACCAACCCGCCCCAACTTCGCACGGGTGTAATGCTGACTAAATTAATTACCTACTACATAATCGGAAATACATTTTGTGTGTTAAAATTGATGTTCGAAAATGTCGATTGTTTCCATTAAAACACGTTTTTCGGCATTGGCGATGCGTAAAAAATTCTTTTCATACGAGTGAAATTCAGACAGCTCGACTCTGATCATTTTCCTTAACACAATACATTTTCAACTAGAATTTCATATTCTGTTTCACGCACGTGTGAGTAATTTATTCTTTTCGCGTCGCCACCCACTAGGTGGCAGTACCATCGACTAGGAATTCCGAATTAAGAATGTAAATGTGTAAATAAAAATAGAAAATGTTCCGTCGCAAATGTGGCTTGAATTAAGTTAATTTTATTTTTGTCCTTTTACTCCCGACTTTAACGTTTGTAAATTTTATTGTTAAATAAAAATCTTTATATATAAAAATGGATCGCAAAATGTGTTGGTAAGCGCATAACTCAACAACGCCTGGACCAATTTTGCAAATTCTTTTTTTGTTATGTGTGTTATTGCCAGGAGAAGGTTCTTATCAAAGAAAAGTAGAGGGGAAGATAAGGAAAAAGTGACCTTTTTATAGCGAGATAGTTGGACCCGTGTGAAGCAGGGGCAGGCCGCTAGTTAGATATAATTTTGAATGGTCTTTTTCTATTTTGCTAGCGTTTTGTGTTTAATGTTTTTTTTTCTTTGAAATGATTATCGGTTTTCACTACAAACTTAAACACCCAAATAAAAAAATTGGATGGCATAACACAAATAATTTATTGAAAAATAAATAATTGTATCTAGGATGTTAAAGTCTTTAAACCTCACAACCACAGCAATTTTAACCACTAATTACACCATATTTCACGACAACATTTTCCTTAAATCGTGCATAATTAACTCCTTAAACTAAGCTTTCAGGTTTAATAGGTAATTGAAAAATTCCTGGAAGATAGCTGTCTGAACACAAAGGTAAGTTGGCGAGAGGAGCAAGTTGAGAGGGCACTCAACTCTAGGGAATTCCAATTTAACTATTCGCATACAATAAACGAAGTATTGAGAGCACGAACGACATGCGACGCGCGGTGCGACACGCGACACGCGACATGCGACATAGAATTTTGTCGCGTCTTCGGTCGTGTTGGTCGTGTCGTCTCGCGAACCCAAGCGTTCGGTTGCTGACAGCTTTAGCGTTCCCGCGTAACGTAATAAGACGGTTGGAACTGCATCGGATTTTCGAACCGAATTTATGAAAGTTGATTTTTAATAACATCTTTCTAAAAGGTCGATGTTGATTTTAAAGTTGTGTGCTATAAAGTTAGAAACTATTTCGATGTTTGGCTGTAAAAATTGGAATATCAACTTTAACAATTTTTAACCGACTTCAAAAAGGAGGAGGTACTTAATTCGACTTTTTTTAAGTTATTTATTTTTACTGAAAAAATGGATTTTATTTAAACGTATAAACTAGTGTTTGACTGAAATCCCAACTGATGGTAAGCAGTGATAAAATCGTTGACAGGAAGGCGCACTAGTTTATTAGGAGCCTGTTCTATCTACACAAATAAACAAAGAGAAAACATTTGTTTGTTTGTAATAGGCTCCTAAACTATTTGACCGAATTGAAAAAAAAAACTGTCACTGTTGGGAAGCTACGCTGTCCTCGGTAAACATAAAATAATATGTACTACGAGAATGATAGCTCAGGGCACAGCTATTAAGCCAATTAGGTACCACCGCCTCGGACTACAGTAGGAGAAGGGACGGGGGGGGGGGGGGGGGGTTTAGTCAGTAAGAGTCTGACACTCCCTATCGCCTCACCCGGAGCGGGAGAAGTCATTTGATAATTTTCCCCGTCACAAAAAAAGC